GCCCAGATGTAGAACCTTGCACTTCATATTGCAGTGCCTGAACACTCTAACTGGGCAAACATTTCTCCTAACATCTAATCTGAATCTCAACATGTCATCTACAGTTGCCTGTGTGAATCCTCACTAGATCAGCACCAGCTCCAAATCATCACTGCCTATAGCAATGTAGTGACTTAGCTACACTTATTTCCATCAAGCATCCAGAGTATTGGCACCTAGACCTAATCTCACCACTGACAGGCAGAAAACTGAACTGGAATGAATAGCATAGCCCTTCCCCTAACTGGGCAATTCTCCTCAGTTGAGATTTAAAATGCTATAACAATCTAGGGCTGCTAATCATGTACAAGTAGAGAACTTCACAGGTTCTCCTGACCACTGTCTTTCTTCCAGTAGGAAGGAATGAAAAGCTCTGAAACAGACATCAGCTTGCTCACACAATTTTGCTTGACTGAAATCTAGTTCAGATTAAGACAGATTTCATTTTCCTGTGAGCATGAGAGGCTTATAATCAAAGCAAACATAACCAGTTTTGCATAAGCCTAGTGCAACTCAAGCATTTTAAAAGCTTAATTACAATTAGTGATAAAAGATTAGGAAAAAAACCCCCCACTTTCCAAAATTAAGCCCTTCAATGAAAATGGCATACTTACAGATTTAGATTTTGATAAGCTGCCTAGTGTCTGAATGGTTTTAGAGATAAGTGTCAAAGTTCGAGAAGTCTGAGGATCCTAGGAAAGAGAATATTATACAGAGAGGTGATTTAGAGTATGGAACAGAGGAAGGTAAACTCTGTTGCTTATTTCACTTGCAGAAAAGTAACACAAAATTAGAAGAGACACAATAAAGCACAGAAGGAAAAAAATTGGGTTTTTAAAAGGTTTTTGACTGTTAAACCATCATGCTCCATGGCTACTCTTATTGATCTGTAGAGAAACAAAATCAATCACTTGCAGAACAAACCAGATTTTTTGAAGACTGCCCATGTCCTTCCTACTCCCAGTAAGAACAGCTACTAAGTCTTGCATAAGATGCTTAAAAATCCAAAATCAATCCAGCATTAATGCAATGCAGCAAAAATTAAGCAATGACCACCTTTTCCATAGCACCTTAGTCCATCTCCCTTGTTTGTCCTTAAATGTTACTATTCTTCCTGTATTTCCTAAGGACTTCACATACACATTCATTCAACACATGCTTCATATCCAAGACTGGTACAGCAGATCTTTGAACTAAGAAAGGTATCACAGAATAATCAGAGTTGGAAGGGACCATGGAGGATCACTGAGTCCAGTTCCTGGCCCTGCACAGGAGAGACCTGACAATCATAGAATCATAGGATTTTAGGGGTTGGAATGGATCTTAGAGATCATCTAGTTCCAACCCCCTGCCCTGGGCAGGGACACCTCCCCCCACACCAGGTTGCTCAAGGCTTCATCCAACCTGGCTGTGAACACTGCCAGGGTTGGGGCAACCACAGCCTCCCTGGGCAACCTGGGACAGTGTCTCACCACCATCACAGGAAAAACTTCTGCCTAAGATCTGACCTAAATTTTCCCTTTTTCAATTTGCACCCATTGCCCCTTGTCCTGTCCCTGCAGCTCCTAACACAGAGTCCCTCTGCAGCTTCCCTGGAGCCCCTTCAGCTCCTGGAAGGTGCTCTGAGGTCTCCACACAACCTTCTCTTCTCCAGGCTGAACAGCCCCAACTCCCTCAGCCTGTCTTCATCGGGGGCAATCACACCCTGTGCCTGAGAGCATTGGCCAAACACCTCTGGAGCTCTGTCAGCCTTGGGGCTGTGCCCACTGCCCTGGGAGCTGTTCAGTGCCCAAACACCTCTGGGGGAAGAACCATTTGCTAATCTCCAGCCTAACCCTCCCTGATACAACTTTAGACCATTCCCTTCTGTCCATGTACTTTTCCTAAAGGCTACTAGAATTGCAGAAAGAATATTGATAGAAAGACTGTGGTGACATAAGCATAAACACAGCTAGAAAAAAACTGACACAGTACTTACTGGATGGTGTGGTGTAAGCTGAAAGAGGTTTGGAGAAAGAATGGCAGGAGCAAAGAACCTCAGGAAAATAAAGCTGCTGACAGCTGTATACCTCACATCTGGGTCACCTATTAAAAAAAAAAAAAGACATCTACTCAGCATTTCAATAACCCTTCCTTAAAAATCTCCTGAAATGATCAGAAAGGCTTCAGAAAGCTAACTCAAGCATGTGCTGGAAATGTATATATTTGAGAGTTACCGGATTAAGTGATGATAGAGGATTTGGAGGCAGAGATCAGCAAGCATAACCCAAGGAAATGTCAATGAGAGCCTGATTAAAAAGAAGCAGGTTCATGACACAAGCTACAAGGAGAACACAGCATCAGATAGATTGGAAGGGAGCACAGTGGATCATCTGGTCCAACCTCCCTACTCCAGCAGGGCCACCCCAAAGCACAAGGCTCAGGGTTGTGTCCAGAGGGTTCTGGAATATCTCCAGTGAGGGAGAATCCACAACCTCCCTGGGCAATCTGTTCAGTGCTCAGTGACTGCACAGGGAAGAAGTTCTTCCTCAGGTTCAGGTGGAACTTCCTGGGTGTCAGTTTTTGCTGTTGCCTCTTGTTTACTTGATTTCCCCCACTGAGCAGAGTCTGATCATCTTCTTGGCACTTCCCATTCATGGACTTGAATCCATTCATGAGGTCCCTCTCAGTGTCTCTTCTGGAGACTGAACAGCCCCAACTCCCTCAGCCTTTCCTCATCACTGAGGTGCTCCAGTCCCTTCAGCATCTTCCTTGCCCTCCCCTGGACCTGCTCCAGGAGCTCCATGTCCCTCTGGCCCTGAGGAGCCCAGAACTGGACACAATCCTCCAGATGTGGCCACACATATGAGGAAGAACCTGAATGAACTTTGGGTGGAACTTCCTGTGTATCAGTTTTTGCTGTTTCATTCTTAAACACCATTCATTTCTCCACTGCCCAGGACATTTCATACCAACCTCTGCTAATCCATCTATGCATTAAGGTATGATGAATAATTCACACAGTTTATGAAATGTTCAGCACAAAGGCCAACTCGCAGTTACCCAGTTATAGCCCTGAGCACAAGTGCTGTGCAGACTCCTAATGTATCTATTCCAGTTGGTAGTCACAGAAAATACACTTTATTTATTTAACGTAGAGTCAAGAGTATGACAGGACAGTCAATGGTTTTCTGCTTGAGCTTCTCTGCTACAAAGTGACTGCTTAAAAGCTGAACTCACATTACTCTCTCTACAACTTCCTTACTGTAATCTGCTTCCCTTCATGAAAATACATAGGTTGGTTGCTCAACTGGTTTTATATTGCTCTCTCACACAGCCAAAACAACTAGGAGGGAGTGGAAAGAATTCTCTCTTGACATCCAAAATACCTCTGCAACACATGAGCCTCCTAGGGCAATGGCTTATAATAACTCCAGTTTATAGGTTGGCCTTTATCACAGATGGACACAGAAAGTAATTTGGGTGCATGGAGTGTGCAGAATGAGCCACCACAAAACCCTGACCACCTGAAAACTGAGCATTACTTTGCAAATACTGAACCACTAAACACATACCACCATCAGAATCTTTTTAAGTGCTCTTTTCCTTTGAAAGGTGTTTAAGAAAAAAACCTCATACCATCATTAAAAGTCATGTTCTTTGTGAAATGAATAAGCAGTGAAAAAAGCAGCATGAACACATTCCAAATGGTATTTTGGAGTTCAATTGCTAAATCCATCAGGGCAGACTGCTGGACTATACTTGTGTAAAACCATACAATCTATAGAAACTCACCTTGAAAACGTTTGGCAGCTGATTCTCTCAGTGAGAAGAAAATATCACACATCACTGTAGGGCAGCTCACACCAGATTTTGTAATGACAGTAAAAATACGATCGACATATTGCCTCAGATTTTCCTGAAAAATGCAAAGATGATGGCAAAATTAGCCTGATCTTCTGCTGTGGAAAGTGGACTTATTCCTGGTTTTATTCACAATCATGAAAATTTTTCTGTTTTCAACATTATACACTCGCAAAACAATCTCACAGTCAATTGTTTTCTTTGCTAAATGCACATATTGAAGTACAAGAGAAGAAATATCACTCCTACCAAACCCAAAACTAAGTGCTATGGCTGTATGGTATATCCTTCCTCCTCCTAGCACTGTTTCCTATGCCACCAGCAGAATCATAGAATCATTAAAATTGAAAAAGACCTTTAAGATCAGAGTCCAACTGTTGACTCAGCACTGCCCAGTCCACCACTAAATCATGTCCCCAGGTGCCACATCCACATGTCTCTTGAATATTTCTAGGGATGGTTATTCCACCACTACCCTGGGCAGCTTGTTCCAAACACTGATCACCCTTACAGTGAGGAAACTTTGCCCAATATCCAATCTAAGCCTCCCCTGATGTAACTTGAGGCCATTTCCTCTCGTCCTGTCACTTGGCATTTGGGAGAAGAGATTGACTCTCACCTCTCTACAACCTCCTTTCAGGTAGTTGTAGAGAGTGATAAGGTCCTCCCTGAGCCTTCTTTTCTCAAGGTTAGCCACAGGCTAAGTCATTCTTGTCCTCAAGGGCAGGGGGAGAAGTGATTAACTTTCTACAGCTATTTTTATTTATGTAAATGCAATAAAGTAAAGCTGTTGTAAAATGATTCTAAGGGTGGTGTTAAGAAAGCTTGTAGTGTGTTCTTATGAACGACAAAACTATTTGCAACATAGAATCATAGGATTTTAGGGGTTGGAATGGACCTTAGAGATCACCTAGTCCCAACCCCCTGCCCTGGGCAGGGACACTTCCCACCACACCAGGTTGCTCAAGGCTTCATCCAACCTGGCTGTGAACACTGCCAGGGTTGGGGCAGCCACAGCCTCCCTGGGCAACCTGGGACAGTGTCTCACCACCCTCACAGGGAAAACTTCTGCCTAAGATCAAACCTAAATTTCCCCTCTCTCAATTTGTACCCATTGCCCCTTGTTCTGTCCCTGCAGCTCCTAACATAGAGTCCCTCTGCAGCTTCCCTGGAGCCCCTTCAGCTCCTGGAAGGGAACATCAAACATCTGAGGAGCTCAGTTAAACTGGACAGAGTAAACAGAGATTACACCTTCAAAATCTAATGCATACCCTGTTATTTTCCAGGTTTTCACCATCTTTTAATTTCACAGGATCAATTTCACAAGGTTTATGAACTTGGCAGATCTAGAAAAAAACCAACAGTGAACAATTAACATATCAGTTTATCTTCAACTAGAAATAAAAAGCATAATCTGTTAGTTTTTTTGAGGTAAAACGCAAAAGTCAACTTCATAAATGGTATTTTTTTTGTTTTTACAAAGCAGCAAAGCTAAATTACTAGTGATCTTTATTTTTTTTCCCACAAAGTAGAATGAATTTGTTCTCCCCTTTCCTTTAACAAATGCAGAATTGTTCTTCAGTCTCATGCAAGGCTGCTCAAGAAAAGTCCTGTTTTAACCCAAACAGTCAGATTTGAAAGCAGATCTATATTCTTTCAAACATGACATTTCCTGGTGAAACATCAAAGACAACAACAGCTGAAGAAATTGTCAAATCATGGAAAGGAAGTCTGTGGTCTGAAAGCATTGCCCAATTGCTGAACTAAAATACCCACACCCACCACCCTGGGCTGCATAGATAATAAACCATTGTCACATCACATGCATCACATGCACAGTTATCTAAGAAGAACTGGATTCCTTTACATCAGCTGGATGAAATGTATCACTTAGAGCTTCACAGCAGCTTTGTGTTCTATCCTTTATTCACCTAAGTTATGACTTTATTAATGTTTTGGAAACAATCTATGGTAGATTTTATAAAACAGAGTAATTTAGCTTAATAAACAGAAATTTTCCTTCTCCAGCTGTTTCTGAATTGGGCAACTCAGCTGTGGCTAAACTACCACATGGGATTTTAATGTAGAAATGGGCTATTAAGCATTATTCCTACAAAGTCATCTTGAAATGGGAAGTAATAAACAGTATTTGCTCCCTGAAGGCCTTTAACATGACATTTTATCAAATCAACAGTCTAAACTGTTCTTACCTCATCTATAATTGGCTTTAGTGTGACTTGCAGATAATGCATCCCTGCCAGTTTCATTGTCTCATCAATGCACTTGGAAGTTAATGAGTTTCCTCTGAAAATGGTGTTTGGATCTCTGGAATTGAACAATTTGCTGTAATTTAGTCTATTTGTAATGAACTGTTATTACATGGAAATGAAAGAAGCAGTGAAAGGTGGCGGAAATCTGGGGTTGAATGCGCAAACAAAACCTCCCTTTGACACTAGCCTGACATTAAACACAGTCACACAGCGTTTGGTGCATTTCCAGGGGATAAGCAACAAGCAGCAGTTACAGAATCATAGAACCATCAGGGTTGGTGACTTCTAAGACCATCAAGTCCAACCATTAACCTGTCACTGCTGGAACCCCTAAACCCTAAACCAGATCCTCCAGCACCAGATCCAGACACCTCTTCAACACTTCCAGGGATGGTGACTCCACCACCTCCCTGGGCAATATCCCAGGGCCTCAACACCCTCACAGGGAAAACATTTCTCCTCACATCCAATCTGACTCTGCCCTGGCTCAGCTCAAGGCCATTCCCTCTAGTCCTCTCCCTGCAGCCATGGCAGGACACACATCCCCCACCCCTCTCCAAGCCGGGCAGGGAGTTGCAGAGAGCCAGGAGGTCACCCCTGAGCCTCTTCTCCAGGCTAAACAAACCCAACTCCCTCAGCCCTTCCTCATCCCACAGGTTTTCCAGCCCTTTGCTGCCCTCGTTGCCCTTGGCTGGACTCTCTCCAGTGCCTCAATGGCCTTTGGGCAGTGAGTGCCCAAAGCTGAGCACAGCACTGAGCTGGGACCTCCCCAGTGCCCAGTGCAGGGGGATGAGCACTGCCCTAGTGCTGCTGCCACACTCTGCTGCAGCCAGGACAAGATGCCATTGACAACCCTTACCATCAAAACCTGTGCCTAGTGACAGCAGATCAAACTGAAGTTATTTGTTTGCTTACAGACACACTGATATCTTCTCTGCTGTTTGCAGCTTACTACAGTTGTACTCATTCACAAGCAGCGAACAACAGGATGAATTACTTCACTGGATTAATCACTTGGTTTCACAAAAAAAAATCAAGGTCACTGCCTGTTACAAATGTCAGAAATCCCTAAAAATAAACACCATCTTTGCAGGTTTATCACAGGAACATGACTGACAAGGGAGCACCAAATTTCCTCATACTGAAGCCACCAAGCTGTTTCAGCCAACCTGCAGCACAGACAAAATACACCTACCTACAGGAAGGAAAACACTTGATCCCTCAGACACTCTGAAGAGAGCCAACCCACACAAGGACTTTGTTTTGTACTGAGGAAACTGGTACATTAGAGGCATCTGTCATTCCCCTGGACTCCCAATTATCTATTCTACTGTTAGTCAAGAGCATCACTACATAGACATAAGACTTGAGGCATCAAGTTTTGGGCCAGGTCTTTAGGACCTGCCCAGTGTGAATAGTAGATCTTACACTACAGAGCTATTAGTCCATCAGTAAGTCAAACAAGGAACTCATAAGAAGCAAACAAAAAAAAAAAACCTGGTCAAATCCAGTCCAATCTTTGCTCCTCTGTCCTCTAACTGGAAGGATTAGACACACAGCTTGCCTTTAATATTCATGATTAGGAAAAAACTTGCTTTTGTTCCCAACAAATTGAATAAACACCTACTCAGCACTGGATGATTTATTAGCACACGATAAAGCTGAAATGATTTCATATGTGCAGCTGAAGGTAATGTAGAATTTCACAGTTATCATCAGATATACTGAAGACTGAAGAAGGTGAAAATCCTTGCTCTCAGATCTTATAACAATCTTGCAAGCAGATTCAACCAAACATGATGGGAATTCCTCCCAAGAAATGAAACCCATGGGATCTTGAGAGCAGTCAAAGCATTTATAAAGGACTCTGCTGCTCAGCTGGGAGGAACAGGAACAACTCTATGTGTAGTTCTAGAAACTGAGTGGAGAATCCTAGCACTAGCCAATGCACTGTGGGTATGTTGGATAGCAACTTATGTTTTGGTACTTACTGAGTTCTCTTCACTTCAGCATTCGCAATGGCACTTATGAAAGGCACAATTCTGCCATAGTGTAAGAAAAGCCTGACAAGAGGTATGGCTGCTTCCTGCTTTTCTCTGCAAACTTCACCCAAAATGTGTGCAGCTGATGCTGAGACAGGCTGAACAATGGAAAAAAGAAAGAAAAACTGAGAAATCCTTCCAGAATGAGCATCCTACCTTTCTT